TTGCCTTCTTCTGTGTGTGAATGGAGTAATTGTTGGGATGCCACGGAGATACCGGGGAAGCCCCCGTGTTGCCTAGACCACGGCCTTGCCCAACACAAGTTATAAATTCGGGCACCGCCGGGAATCGAACCCGAGACCCCAGGATCAATAATAAATGTGTCATTTGGAGCATCGGCTCATTCTAAATCGAAACTTTGCAACACAAAGGCAAGAAGGACACGCAAGGCTGCCATAGACGCAACATGATTGTCGTACGCTGTTGCAAGAAGGCAGGTATTATAGTTTCTCAAGCTTCTGTCTCCACGTTAAACTCCCACTTCCTGCAACTTTCCTGGGCTGGTTACTTAGTGGTCGATTCTGTACTGCATTTGTCGAAATTCATCGGAACAGAAATGTGAGGTTCATCCTGGTGTTTCCATAGTGACGGCCTCAGCTATTAATCGCAATTAACAAGGAGGGTCAATTACGAACATTACTCAACATTAAACTTGTCCACCTTGTGTCTTTTTTTAATAGAGGCATCGTGACCGAAACCAGTTGGTCACGTAGGATGGAAAGACAAAGAATGCGTACACTCCTTCCTGAGAAGCCGATAATCACCAATCCCTACCACCTCATCCTATTTCTCCAAGGTCCATTTTGATATTATCCTCACACCTACGTTACAGCAGTACAGTACCAGTTTAGTGATGGCTCGACCTCAAGATGTAAACAATTCATATATGGTTTGAGCTGGCGTTAGTAAGAAGTTTCGTAAAAGAATCTCTGAGATTTGAAGTTCCCACGGCGACGAGAATTAAGATGGCTGTCTTCTTGTATGGTAAATACACCGACGTTTAAGAGGAGCTTTCTGCATCCCATAAGGCAGTGGTATTCAACCTTTTTTGGTTCGCGTACCCCCAGATATAATTTCTCTTCAACTTTGTACCCCCAAAGTTGTTGGTGTATAATTCAAGTTATACATAGTATATAATCTACATCTAAAATAAATTAAATAAATTACATTACTGATTATTCAGTGTTTATCATAAAATAATATATATCTTTTTTTAAAATTTCACGTACCCCCTAAGATGTCTTCGCGTACCCCCGGGGGTAATGTGAACGTCACTGGTACTTTGACCACATTTTACACAGCTGTTGGTTGAGATTTCTTTTACCAACAGCTACAGTCATCATATTTACGAAAGATATCCTGAGAGTTTAGGTTATGTCATAATGGACTCGTGCTTTTCGAAATCAGTTGAACACAAAAAGGAATTGCGTAACTTAGGTAATGAAGTCACGTTATGTAAACAAACATGGAGAATGCATGTAATGATGAAGAAACGTTGCTATAATAACTCTGTTTTTTTTTTTGTAAGTCCCGTCTTTTTCTACGAACAGAACAAATTTGTACCACACTGACGGACTACGTAATCTCCTATAGTGAAAATTCTCTCAGTCGTCAACTTTTAAAATCAAATATCCCTGACGATTTTCTGGGTTGAGATTCTGTGGGCTTGCAAGTGAGTGCGTACAAAAAAAAATCTATTTCCATCTTCATGGCTTATATATTTAAATATAATTATGTGTTATGAAGTCCTTAAAACATGAATACATTTTACTGTATTCTTAAGTGGTTCTGTTGTATATTTCAATGTATTTGACCGAGAAGGAATTTTTTGTATCCGATCACATTTCCCAAGCTGTATAAGGTCATTTGAACACAGGGGACTGTGTTCGAAACCCGATTTAAGCATGGATATATCCTCGACGTTTTCTGTTGTACCATCCTATGTAGGACTAGGCACAGACATCCTGATGGCTCGTCTCTGTTTAAGGAATACTAAGATTTATTCTGAAGAGAAATTAGCTAGAACGTCAAACTTTTAAAAACTACCCTTTTTAATTAAATTACTGCTGCGTTAATTACGTAGCCCTGTGTGCACCCGCACTGTTTTCGCTTACGAGCCTCAGCGCAAAAGAACTGCGCCCAACGGTTATAGTCTGCTCATCGCCGTGCGTGTCGTGACTCTCAAAAGAGCTTAGTCAGTGGTTCTCATACCTGAATAGGCGATCAGGTGGTAACACTCCCAAAACAGAGCTGCCAACCTAAAGGTAATTATGTATTTATTCCAAATGTGTTCTGACAAACAAACATGGAGAATGCATGTAATGATGAAGAAACGTTGCTATAATAACTCTGTTTTTTTTTTTGTAAGTCCCGTCTTTTTCTACGAACAGAACAAATTTGTACCACACTGACGGACTACGTAATCTCCTATAGTGAAAATTCTCTCAGTCGTCAACTTTTAAAATCAAATATCCCTGACGATTTTCTGGGTTGAGATTCTGTGGGCTTGCAAGTGAGTGCGTACAAAAAAAAATCTATTTCCATCTTCATGGCTTATATATTTAAATATAATTATGTGTTATGAAGTCCTTAAAACATGAATACATTTTACTGTATTCTTAAGTGGTTCTGTTGTATATTTCAATGTATTTGACCGAGAAGGAATTTTTTGTATCCGATCACATTTCCCAAGCTGTATAAGGTCATTTGAACACAGGGGACTGTGTTCGAAACCCGATTTAAGCATGGATATATCCTCGACGTTTTCTGTTGTACCATCCTATGTAGGACTAGGCACAGACATCCTGATGGCTCGTCTCTGTTTAAGGAATACTAAGATTTATTCTGAAGAGAAATTAGCTAGAACGTCAAACTTTTAAAAACTACCCTTTTTAATTAAATTACTGCTGCGTTAATTACGTAGCCCTGTGTGCACCCGCACTGTTTTCGCTTACGAGCCTCAGCGCAAAAGAACTGCGCCCAACGGTTATAGTCTGCTCATCGCCGTGCGTGTCGTGACTCTCAAAAGAGCTTAGTCAGTGGTTCTCATACCTGAATAGGCGATCAGGTGGTAACACTCCCAAAACAGAGCTGCCAACCTAAAGGTAATTATGTCTTTATTCCAAATGTGTTCTGACAATCTGGTTTGTGATAGGTCATACTGATATAGACAGTTTATTTCAGAAGAAATCAGGTGGTGAATATAATTACCACTGGGTTTTAAAGGGGTAAACAGAATTAACCAACTAACATTTGTAATAGAACCGTGTCTTTTATGTGCGCTAAGAACTGTATCTTTAAATATGACGTGATTGAGAATCGGGTTTTAAGCTTTTAAGGGAAAAATCCTGGCACGTCTATTTAATATAAATTTAAAAAACAACAACGAAGAAGTATAAGTATAATTATACAGAATATAAGAAAAAAAACATAGAAGTTTTGTGTGTCATGAGGTATAATTTAATTGGTCGTGACGAGGAAGTATGACGCAATGTGATTAGGGCGTTTGCTCAATAATTTTAACATTTCGAGATGATTACTGAAAAAAACATCCTTGTACTTAAAATACTTATTTGTTCTTCTGTCAATTTTCATGTCGGTGCGAAATTACAGAGTCAACACACTTTCTTGTTGGCGAATTTGTTCCTTGGACATAACCGGACAGACGTTATTGACGAAAGGCAAAACAAAGCTGACTTACGTTGTACGTTGATCGTGGACTGTCACGCCACGTGACGCTGTAGATGGTTACAAATGTTTAGAAGAAGCTTCATGCCCTCATCTTTAATCCCAAATACAGAGAAGACGATGATAACGTCTGAAACGTCAGTAAACAACCAGACTGTACGGCGCAACAACCCAGAAGACAGTCATCTTCATGCTCGCCGTCATAAAACCCCAAAATCTCATGAATGTCCTTACAAAAAATATTTTCCTCTTACGTAAACATTTAACGGGCATAACTGACAGTATATATCCCAAGAAAATGCAGTAAAACGCGGACTAGAAATGCACCAGAGACATTAAGATATAAGAATCCGGTTCGGGTTCCGCGGATGATTTTCTGTTTCCAGTCAAAGTCGCCGCTTGAATTATCTCCTCTCTCCACTGGTCAGTCATGCCGACCGCGGACATTCGATCACGTTGCAATTAAAGCGGTCAAGGTACACTCTCGCTTTTTGCTTGAGAGAAAGCATCAAAACCCTGGTTTACCGTCAGATCTGACAAACGTGAACGAAGCTTTGTAACCTCCTACAAACTTAGAAATCAAAAACGTTAAATAACCTTCGATAGCCAATCTTTCAACACACTGGTCCATATCATCACAGATGTGTCTCCTCCTATACCGATCCGTGTACAGCTCCCTAAAGCGCATAGCAATGTAGGAATGAAAGACCTGTTTCAAATCGGAGTTAACAAGTTCATGTTCAGTATTCATCTGACCTTGTAAAAATGGATCGACAACTCGTCCAAAAAAAAAATTGGTACACAGTGTTTACAGCCAGACTGTACCACGCCTACAGCATGAATATGAATCTGACCAAACTCATGTTTGAGGCAGGGTTTGACGCTGATATGCCGAGGACGACGTCCCACAACTCGAATTTCGAGGCCTTCCGAATACGCAAGTTTGCCATCAGGCGTCAGAAATCGAAACGTTGAAATCGTCAAGGGATATCCGTGGAAATTTAGAGGAATTTTCTCTAGGAACAGCGAAGCGTTAAGTAGGAAGTGACCCTGGTTAGTCTTGTCCATTGCCAACTGATCTATGAGACACAGCGACCTGGCGGCATATAAGGAAATTGAGAGTAGACGCTCAAAGCTGACAATTCTTCGTAACGCAAAAGGTTCAGACTGTCTGCATATTTTACTCGGGATGAAATTACCGTCGACAGAATAATTATCGCATTAGAAATCTTGTCATTCCACAGGTCATTAAGAACATCCTCTACTGAATATTTCACGGGCGTTTCTTGTTTCAGTGACCCCAACCACAAACTTTGCATTTGGGTTCCATCCCACACGTGTTTTAAGATCAGTCAGCTGACTGACTCCTTGCTTCTCGCACTATGTCTCCTGTTTCAGCAAAGATTACGTAACTACCGTGCTTCTTAAGTGTCTCCCGAAGGCCTCTGCCCCTTCTAGTTGAAACAAGTACTTGCCTGGTGTAATTCCTTCAGGAGTTTTGCAGTTGTCACAAATACATGATTATACAGTACAGAATTGGGGTCTTCTTCATTACGGTCAAGGCTTCTGTATGATACTACCAAGGTGTGTTTCGGAGCGAAATACCCTAGCGCGACGTCACGCAATCACTGCCCCAGGCGAAGCTGCATTTCGCAAAACGCGTTCTTCAGGGAAAAAAAAGTTGTCAGTGGAATCACGGTTCCGGAGAATTAGACGTAAATACGTCTATACGGAAAGGAAGTTTATATATTGGCTTTATTCCAAATATCTCCTTCATACATTGAGATAAGTTTGATTAAGACATTGCTTAATCAACTTGAATTAGTTACGCTTAAGATGGGTCATTGGTAGCTGAATGTAATGTAAAGTAACGTAATGTAATGTAAGGTAATGTACTGTGGTTTCCAAGGTAACAATTGTTGTTTATTTGTTGATAAACATATGACGTTTCCCAGGTAACATAACAATGAAGTTACACTTTTTCGTAACACATTTTTGCCGAATGACACTGACCCTAAAATATAGACGTATTTACGTCAAAAAATATCAGGTTTAATATGTCCATATCCAAGGGCCTCTACCGTCATTAAACAATAAAACTGCATACAGTGCAACAAACGCTATTTGAAATACACATTTTTTAGGAATTTGTATCAAACCATCTTTCCCAGTAGGTAATAATGCGGTAATATGAGAATAAATTGAATCAGAATTCAAATATGATTTATCATTTTATGGTATTGGACATTGTACTAACCTCATATTGGCATGTCCTACGACAAGAAGACAAATATTAGAATTTCATAGTGCAAACAGCAGAGACTTTATAATAGTTCCTGAGTTGCCAAATTTACTCTAACGAACAGTATGAAGCTTCCACAGACATACAAAAAGTATGTAATCGTAACAAATTAAAAAAAAGACATTTCTAAAGATAATTTATGACTCAAAATACTATGATATCGATTCACTATATGTAGAAATATACACTACTTTTTTGAGGTTTTATAAACTACTACATCAGTTTCTATAAAATTCTAATATATTCTTCGTAAAGTTTTGTGGGTTACAGTTAACACATTTATCAAATATGTCAAAAATAACCATTCCAACTGAAGCGGATAGGATGGCCACCTGCTTCTGTACGTATAGTGAAATTTATCTTCAAAATAAACTTCCTATCCAAACAATTTTTGAGAGGAGCTGACAAGCCAGAGATTCATTACGTGTTTCGGCATTTTTAACGAGGTTATGTATAAGTCGACATGCTATACAGGTCAGTTTATTTCTGCATAAAAAAATAATTGACAAAGTTAAAGTTAAAATTTTGGTATTCGGTGTACCCTGAAAATGGAGGTAGAATACTCCTCCGAAACGGTGAACGCCTCCCAGACAACACGGAACAACATCCCAAAAAGAGGTCGCCTTCATATGTACTTACTATTTGTCAGATAGGTGGACCACAAAATTAGTAATTTATATAAGACAATAAATTTTAAAGAATAAATAGATAAGTGATATTTCCTTTCGATTGTAATTAGAGTGCCAGTTAAAAACAGTTCCTGCCCATCAATCTTCAATTTGAGTTACTTCTGGGGTTTAATCGAATCGGATTAAAAATTAGGATGATGGATAATGTTCAGAAAATTTTATCACTGTAAGAATACCATTATCACAGATTCTTAGATTTAATATTAACCCTATGATGCCTAAGCTCGCTTAAATAACATTTAAGACTTCAGTCCGTACCGCGCAGAAAACACCACATTCCACCGTTACAAAGATCAACTGGTTAACGCTGTTTAAGAATATAATCTCTGTTTACAGTGAGAATTATACGAAACACAAATATAATCCGCGGGGAAAAATTAGGGTTCTGATGTGTAGTTACCATTGGCTTTTAACGGGGTTAAGGATTATTATTATTTAGTGTTGTGTCTGACGACAGGTCCATATAAACACGATCCTTCCATCCTTTTCTCGGACTGGGACCTGTTCATATACGTTCCTGGCAGATGATCCAGAAGTGGTTTGCCATTGCCTTCTTCTGTGTGTGAATGGGATGCCACGGAGAAACCGAGGAAGTTCCCGGAGGAAAACTCCGTGTTGCCTAGACCACGGCCTTGCCCAACACAAGTTATAAATTCGGGCACCGCCAGAATGAAATTATTAAGAGAGAGAAAAATTTAATACAACAAATGAAAATTTGTCATGCACTTTTACGCAGGACCATTTGTTGCTAAAGAAGAAGAACTTTTCCATCTGCGCCAAATTTTCATAAAGCTTGATGTAATTTGTGAAACGGCGTGAATTAGGTCGCGTGCCGTAGAGAGTCCCCGCACCGCAGGTTTCGAGACCCTGTACTACTACTACATGAGAGTTCACGTAAGAACACAAGAACAGAACACACGAATCCCAGAATAAGCATTATGAAAGCGGACTGGAAATGCATCAGCAACATTACACTGTAATCTCCACCGTAAGCAGTTACGTTCTTGGCGACAGCCAAACGTTCCACATAGACGATATCTCTCCACCACATATCGATTAATCCCGCGGATAAACCGCGAAGAATGATCTGATCGAACCTTTCCAACAGAGGACTCCCTTTCTGCAGATACATTGCCATGAACAAGGTGGTAAATGTCTCATCGAGGTGGCAAAACAGCGGTTTTCCATCCGTGTCGACAAATTCTACAGAAGTCATGTAATCAGCAAACAGTTTGACGATCAGAACGGCAAAGTCTCGTTCATGAGCCATCCTGCTGATGCATTTGTTCATGTCGAAACACATCTGTCGATTTCTGTAACGAGGCCCCGACAGTTCCGTGTTTGAGAGCTCCGTTACTGGATGGTAGCCGAACTTGATTCCAGAGTTAAGAATTTCGTCCTCCGAGGATATTTGTTTCTGAAGACCCGGGTTAATCAGAAAGGTGGTCAGGAAAGTCTGGTATACCGTATTTATCGCCAGGCTGAACATAACCCACACCAAAAACATCGCCCTCACCTCAAACCTGCCGAGAAATAGAACAAGTTAGAAAATGTACCCGTAGCTCTCGCAAGGACGTGTCTGGCTGGGTTATAACGTCGCCAGAAAATCCTGACACGTAGCTGGGAATTTATCAGGTAATCACGGTGACCATAGGGAAAATTCTTGAGGCAACTGTTAATATATTACACACAGACAGGCAGGGCGGATCTAACAGACTCATTATTTTCAAGGTTTAGGTACGAACATGCCTAACACATGTCAATATCTAACAATTTGCTTTCGTATTCATGATCTATCTCAGCAGGGACTAATGTTTTAGAAGACATCAACGTACTGAAGACGGAGGCAGCAGTTGCCTCTTTATATCATTACAATAAATGTTCCTCATAAAATTTAGAATTCACCTACACGTTTCTCCTTCTTGAAGATGGAAACAGTATGTTCCTCCGAAACGTTAATATTTACTTACAAGACCGCACGACATTATAACCCAGAAGATCAAAATCGTGTGTGAGAGAGTGAGAGAGAGAGGGGGAGTAATTGCAGTCCAACGTTTCTGACTGGCTGTATTAATTTTCAGTCACTATAATGACTAGACTCCGGGGTTATATTCCCGACAGGGGCATATATTTTTCTCATCACCACCTCTGGAAGTTACCACACGTCTTCATGAAGTAATGACGTGCTTAATTAACACATGGACAACTATACCGTGGGACATTTTTAAACTTATTAAATCTTTTATGTTCAGACGACAGACATGCCAAAGGTAAAGTACTCCCGTGGTACTAATACTTCTCCAGTTGAACATATTTTTCATAGTGAAACATCTTACCAATGAGGCACTGCATTTGGAGCAGAAACTCCAAGAATAACAGCCCACAAGTTCAACGGGGACACCGTAAAGTTGGAATAGGCTAAGGCCCCGGGAGATCCAGATGTTTTCACAAGACAGCAGACTAAAAGCGAAACGAAGACCAGGGCGAGGATAAGCACCAACCACATAGAAGGGTAGAATACCCTTGTCAGGCTCAACCAACCAGGCACAGGACTGGCACATGGGACGTGCCACCTGTAACCATCAGCGACGTCAACTCCCTCAGAATACTGATAATTGTCGTTCAACATGGAACCGAATGCTACGTCAGATTTGCGCTCAATAATATGTCCGATAACTCCAGTCCACGACCCGTTCACAAGCGTTCCCCATCGTTCACCGTCAGATGGAGGCGGCAGGTACACGGGTATCATATTCACTGCATTCATCAGCATGTTAAAATGTCGTATCTCCACTCCACCTTCATACGAAATATCACCGTCTGCGTTCCTAATGAGGTTTCTCACCATGGTCACGAAAGGAAACGTGGACACTCTAATGGGGCATCCGTGAAGATCATTTGGTACTTTCTGTGGGAACAAATATGAGTTATGAACAAATCGTCCGTCTCCTTCGGAATTCGCTACCCAGATATCTAACAGAACAGGATCTGTGGATTTAGCACAGCGATCTGGTGGCTGGTACGGGAACCACGTGTACACCTGGAGAACAGGAACAAATTCCCGACTGTTCCTCGTTCTGTTATCTGCTTCGTGTGTGTGTTTTCCAGGCAGAATCACAATTACGTTGACAATATTCTCCTTCCAAAGTTCAAAAAATATATCATCTGCGGTTGCATTGCACACCGATTTATTTACATCACGTACCATCACCACGATAACAAATTTCGCCTTTGGATTCCATCCAGAAGAGGTCTTCAATTTCGAAAGTTGGATTTTTACTTCCTGTACAACCCCGTCTGCCTGCCCAAACATAATATAACTCTCGTGTTTGTCTTCAGTTCTCCGTTCCAATTCACCGAATGGACTTAAAATCAGGACATGCCACGAAACAGACTGATGGATCTCCTCCAGTAACACATCGACTGTATTCATTGTTTCTTCACACGACAAAGAATTGGTTTCCTCGCGATAATTAATAATATCGCTGCTGAGCGAGACGACCAAAGCTCGTCCCGGCGAAAAGTGCTTTGTCGCGATGTCGTGAAGACACTTCACCAACTGATGCTGCATACCCCCACATGCCGCCAGCATGAACACACCCAGGAGTACAACAAAGTTGACCGCCATGCAGACTTAATATTCTTACTCCAGTCCTTGTGAAACCACAAGGCAGTGGGATCGTTGTGTTCACTCCCAGGGGAACTACTTCGAGGGTGATGGATGAATTTAATACCTGAGATAAGTGTACGGGTTTTTTTTTAAATAGGCGCAGTCTTGAAACTTTCCGATCGCACCTCGTACATACCTCCGTTGATATATGCATGAACATTTTTTACTGTTCGCATTGTCCAGCATTTCATATTTTATTTTAGTTTTCGAGGGTAAAATGGATAACATAAAAATTTCCACAAAAGGGTATCAATATTTCTAGTTTCACGATGGTGTTGCAAGAAAAGTGAGGCCCCATTCATTGACAGAACCGAATAAAGAGGCAAGGATTGGCACAAAAAGCTGAAATTTTCGAAGGAAAATCTGTTCCCCTAGAATCGGGCAACGACAGTCAAACGTTTACTGCCTAAAGGCCGACGCCAAGGCAAAAGAAAGCAGCCTGAGTTCAGCGCCGTACTGAGATGGTATCTCAGTGAATTATAAAGAATGTGATTATAGCCGATAATGACTTATGGAAGGAAATTCCAAATAATCTTCCTGAAGAAATTAACAAAACCCACGAAAACCTTTAGCTAGAATAGGCAGTCTTCGGCACACGTCTTGGTTTCATAATAATATGTTAGCTGCTGTAAAGGTTTTATTGAACAGCCAGCTAATTTATTACTCAGTCATTCAGTAAAAATAAATTATTGTGTGCAAACACCTATGAAGAATTTTTCTAAAACATCTCTTCAATTTATGAGGGAAGATATTTTATGAATCTGAACTCATTCGATATGCAATCGTATCATTCAAGTATGGCATTAACTGAATTCGTATTATTTATAGCATTTCTTTTAACAACCAACTTACTAGCTCGTTTGGGGATCCCAAAGGTTCATCACCGAATTAACCAAAGCCCTCCACCAGACCCTGTCCTGGGCCAACAAAATCCAGTTTTTTCTCTTGTCACATCCATGCGCGCTACATGCCCCGTCCATCTCATTCTTCTCGACTTAATCACCCTGACAATACTGGGGGAGGAGTACAGATTTTTGAGCTCATCATTATGAGGTTTTCTCCTAGGCCCAAATATCCTCCTCAACACCCAATTCTCAAACACCTGCAATCTGTGTTCCTCCCTCTGAGTGAGAGACCATGTTTCGCATCCATACAAAACAACAGGCAAAATTATTGTTTTGTTAACTAATAATTCTTCATTTTTTCCATAGTGTATTTGTGTTTCTGTATGAGTCTCAGAATAAACTGAAAAGGTATTATTTTCCTAAACAGCATTAACGAGCCCAGTCTTTGCAATGGATAAGTATTGCGGTTTCTTTGAGGTAGGGACTGAATTTTAAATGTTACTAGGGAAACATACATCAATATTGGTATTGGTATCCATGAAAGTTGTATCTCATTTCAGAGAAAGTCACCCCGTATTGTAACAGGGTGAATGCAGATCATAATTAATGGTTACTCGAAGTAATTTCGCGTCTTTCGTAAACCCGATCGCTAAAGTTCTATTTTTCCGGATATCAGGGAGACGTTAGCTTTCGAATTGATCCTGTGGGTGCATTCGACTGCCCACAATTTCTATTGCCTTACAGATTTAGATTAGATTTTGCTTTAAAGGGCAAGAATGTGTAATTTAACATCGCAGTCACTGTGAAAGAATCGGGTTCTTCAGTTAAAATGTACGGTCCATATTGTAAAATTTGACCGCGTCTTGTGTTATTTAAAATTGCCTTCGAAAATTACAGTTACCGTCTTCAGATCGTGTTCCCCCTTTTTTTGTCAGCGTCCGCTACAATTTTCGTCATACTTCGTGCTCAATTTAATGGTCATGATTAATTAACTGCACTGTACCAGTATCTTTATAAATATTTTATAACCAATGACGAGGGAAATGTTCGTGTTCTGAAAGAATAATTTATCTAATGATACGCAGACAGGGAGACAGCTCTGTCAGCCACAGTGTGAGAACCCAACAAAGCACCTGAGAAGTAATTTCTCAGTTTACAGCGATCTACAACCCTGATTAAGATACGCGTAAGTCGCGGGTTCAGTTTCAGCCCATGGTCGATGTACAATTTTTCGTCGTATTAAGTGATAATAATTCCATCCAGTTTGGAGGTTCTGTCATTGTATAACTCAACATGCAGATAAAAAATGTGCAGTAGATTTTTGTGAACAGCACTGTACATGTTAAGTCTGATGATGAGAATTTAATGAAAGAAACAAGTTGTTGTAATGTTATATCAGTGAGTCACTGAAACAAAGGAACAGTGCAGTTTAAATATGCATTGGCAGACATTCTTTGAAGTTGATGGTTAGTACAAATATAACAATGCAAAGCACATCAGGACGTTAAAGAATAAATTCTGACGTGTGAAATTTCCCGAGTTATTTCCTCAGTAGTACAGTGTTGTAATCATTTTGAAATATCTTGCGAGATTCACAAATGACACGCTAATTCCGGTTTAAAATTAACTTAATATACCTCTGAAGTCCCGCTTTACTTATCAAGAATACAGCGTTATAGTCTTTTGAAGATATAATCTTAAGCAAATAATATAACCGAAATCGAGTAAGCACTAAACACGAAAGCAAACTTTAAGGCCAAATCTTCACTTGCACAACTTTTCATTTCAGCAAAAAGCAAATATTAACATTATCTGAACTTTGTACCATCCAAATTTACACTTCCTGCAATCCCCCGTACGGCACCTGAGAATGATCTCGTACACGGAGAAAAGCACTTTAAATAGAAAGTACACAAATGTCCTAACCGAGGAAAAAGGTGTGGAAATGACTGGTCTCACTTGTTTCGTTCTCCGGGGCTACCAGCCGCCTTAATGTTGAGTCAAAGACCAAAGTTTCGGAGATTATCTATGCCTCCATCATCAGGGCCAGTTTATTCACCGTGAATGTTTTAAATCTCCGTCAGACCTCGCTTTTCGGAGATTCCCAACATGACACATCGCTTCATACGAACTTTAATAAAGAAACGCTTAGCATCTGCTTGACTCGTCATCGGAACGCGGAGAAAACTGAGCACGTGATATCGAAAACAGAAACAAATGACGGAACGTCGCCCAGTCAATCAGAGAACCGGGGGTGAAAGTACGGTAATCGGGACGAACCTGTGCGTTCCATGTCCTTTTGGAATTGGTAGCATTTTCTGCATGTATAGACCACGACTGTAATCTTGAGACTTGCAAAGAATGCAGGAAGTCCGTAGCGTTAAAGGCAAGTCTCAAGATTACAGTCGTGGACTATACAGTCTGTGCTATAAAGACGATTTTACAGCGGCAGTATTTTTCCAGCTGATTCTCTAAGTTACCATGCGTGTATTTGCTTTGGATTACACGAGACTACAAAGGGGAATTAAGTATTTTCTTTCGGCCTGATCAAATGAAACACCACATCAAGAAGGCGGTGCCTGAACTAGCAGCTGGGAATGAAGTTGTCAACCATCTTGTAACAAGTTGAAACGAACATTGTTGCATTTTATACATAAACTAGAGCAGGGCGCTCCTTCCGGAGCTCCTCAGGGGCTTGGTCAAGCTTTTAAAAAGCAACCAACCCCCCTGAAGGTTTTTTTTTAAAATCTTGAATACGAAACTAACCCCCCCCCCACCGAATGGGGGTTAAAACACCTGGTTAGTTTAGTGTCTTACTCAAGTCATTTGTTTACTCGGCATTGTTGTGTTTGTACAACAATGCCGAGTAAACAAATATAACGTAACATTGTCATTTTTTGATAGACGACAAATCACGAATTGTTATAGTAAAGAATCATTACAATCTAAGCCCTTTGTTTATGCTGGTAACAATAGCAACATGAAGGCTAAGTTATATTGATTATGATGTCTGTTGCAGTGTTACAGAAAGTTAAAACTTCAGCCGTGAAAAAAAAAAAACTACGGACAAGAACTGTTACACTGCTCCCATCAAAATGGCTGAAGATTCTGCAATAGTCGTCAGAGACGCTTGCAAATATTACGGAACCGAAAAGAATAAGAAGATAGTTCTGGACTCCCTCAACATGACTGTTCCAAGGGGAAGCATGTGAGTATCCGTGTGCATTACCTTGTCAACACAAAAGTTTCCAGATGCTTCTCAATGTTCATTGCAGTTAAGTAGTTTCTGAAATTCACCTGTTGTCGTAAGCAATGAACTTAATAAAGCAATCTTGGCCCTGACTCTCATTAAAGAGTGACAATACTGGTAAAGACCTTGCTGAATGATTATTGGCCTATAGCTAACAAGTTACATAGACTTGCTAACCACAGAAGACACGTCAACTCACAATATCCTTCGCGTATTCAAAATACGGCATTGTACTCTGTGTTGTACGTACAATCGAGCGGAAGTCCCAATTCTTCGAGGTGTGAAGGTTCCTGACAACGGTGTGTAAAACTGTTCTTTTGAATTTTTGTCCATCACTTAAATTACAAAATAATAAATTTCTGCTTTCGTCATGAGTAACAAAGGCGGATGAGGACAGAAACAGTCGACATTCTTTACTGAACTTACCTTGCTTGCTAGTTTGAAACATTTCCTGGTCCTAACTCGTGAGACACTTGGCTTTTACCAGGTTTATGACGTCACTACGTTAATTTATGTCAACTATAAACTTTAAGGATGCTACTGTGAATCACGTGGCTCGTAATATCAGTACATTTGACTAATGACAAAGCCACAGTTGCGTACAGATTCTTTACTGACTCTTAATTCACACTGCGACCTATTACTTTCCGAGACGAAACAAACCTACGATTTGATTCCGTTTGTAGTGACGGATGGAAGAAGACACAGGAAATGACGGCGAACTTAATAGCTGAAGGCTGTGATGCGAGGAGGAGGGCAATGAAATATTTTTTGACCCCTAAAGCAAGGACCCACCACAGAGAAACATTTGTGAAGACAGTTGCAACTTTCATCTGAACTCCTTGAGAAAATGCTCGTGTTTATAAGAGGCCTCCACCCTATTTTGAGTTCAATTAACATCCTAAAACCCCATTTATTTAAGATAAATTTTAATATTATCCTCTCATCTACGCCTGAGTCTTCTGAGTGGCCTCTTCCTTCAGTATTTCCAAACAAAATTTTTTTGTACTCAATTCTCACATCCCTCATGAGCGTCTCTACCTCAGTGACTTCAGAATCTTAACGATTCTGGGTGAAAAATATTAACTATTTTATCCCTCTTTGGTCAAAATATTTTGCTCAGAACCCTCTTGTAATAAATCCTCAATCAGCGTTTTTTCCATTTACGTAAGAGACCAGTTTTACGCCCATAAGAAACAATAGATAAAGCTTTTAGTTTTTTCATATTTTAATCTTTACATTTTTATGTAGTAGACAAAAAAATTCTGAACTTCATAGCTGTTTACTGGTAGAGACAGTGGGATGAATCGTGTAGTACAGTGGTATTCAACCTTTTTTGTTCGCGTACCCCAGATATAATTTATCTTCAACTTTGTACCCCCAAAGTTGTTGGTGTATAATTCAAGTTATACATAGTATATAATCTACATCTGAAATAAATTAAATAAATTACATTACTGATTATTCAGTGTTTATCATAAAATAATAATTTTTTTTTAAATTTCACGTACCCCCGAAGATGTCTTCGCGTACCCCCAGTGGTACACGTACCCCAGGTTGAATACTACACTGTAGTACATCAAAATGTATGGTACACTATATATCACTCGTGTGACAATTCATAATGTGCACACACATTACGAGATTGTATTTCTATGCACCATTTGCTTTAGTAGACACATACACACTGTCAGTCTGCACTTCAGGATTTGTCTGTTGGACTGATAAATATTTGCTTCATATGTACGAATGGAATTTTCTATGTAAACGTTTTACGAATATGTGTATTGCGAACGTGACATACGCTAGTCCAAGGTAAGTGCTAATCCAATGAACACACAACAGGCATAATATTAACGTCATCCGTGCAAAAATGAGAATAAAATATAAGTTAAACTGCCATGTCACGTAATTTTATAAAGGTAAAAAAATTGGAATAATTTTTCTGTTTACTTATAACAGTAAACTACTAGTAGCAACAAGAAAAAATACAAATACTTGCACTTCTATGTAAAAATGGTGAATGAAAATCTTGACGTAAGACAAAACTTTACTTTTTTTTTTTTTTTACAAAATAAATTACACGTCTGTTCTGTCGAGACGTCTAAACTCTTTCATTAGCGCAGATTTACGGGGAAATGCAAAATAACTTTTTTGAGTGTCTCCAAAGCATCCCTGTAAGACATTTTTAATTTACCACGTCCATTAGTACGGGTAGCCTCGTATAACACAGCGCACGATATACAGAAAGGCATTGGTTGGTATGTGCCAAGACCAGACCAAGGTTGAAGGTCATTACAATGGCATTCAACACAACGATATGGTTAAATATGTTTTTTTACCTATGTTAGTGTATCGGCCATAATATGGTGCCCTGGAAATCATCAGAATTGTTTCAGAACACGACAGAAACATTCCTAAATTTCGTGCTGAAACAGTGGGCAAATTTACTAGGAATATCAGTTTCCTGTCGCATTCCAAATTTCGCCGCAATCAGAATAATACTTATTGCTTCGATATTCAGCAGCCACCGTGAAAACCTCAGATCCTACAACATATAAGTATCATTGCCGGCTTATTTTGTGGGAAAGAATCTCGACTAGGAAGGTTACTGTAGGTATAATGTAACCCAAAATGAGTATATAAAATGCCGACTGCAAATGTTCCATGGACAGAGGCACGTAGTCACCCACAGGCACCGTGAAATTCCTTGCGGCAGACAGAGTCGCTTGAAACCTGAGCTCCCTCCACCACTGGTCCAAGATTCCACCCTCAACCACGCGTTGGATGACGTCATTATACCTTGCCAACATCGGACTGCCCTTTTGAACTGATGTCGTTATATACTGCCGAGAAAATACTTCATCTAGCTGACAGAACAGGGGATCACCGTTGGAATCAACGTAGCGAACTGCTGCAATGTAATCGGTGCAAATCTTCGAATGTAAAATTGCGTAATCTCCCTTCATGGCTGTTCGGCGAGCACAAACTTCAATGTCGTCACAAATCTGACGACGCTCGTAACGTTTGGCCTTGAGGTCCGGTAACAGTGATTCCAGGGTATCTACCATGCCGTAGTCAAGACGAGAATCCAAAAGCTCATCCACGCTCGAGATCTGGTGTTGCAATCCGGGATCCACCATGTAGCTCGTCAGAAATGTTTGGTAGACGGTGTTCACTGCTAGACTATACGCGACCCAAAGAAGGAACACAATTCTGACGACTGTATTTTTGGGTATATCTTCCGTAGCGGATACTCCCAAGATAACTGCCCACAAGTTGAGAAAACATTTGGCCAGTTTCGTATAAGTCAAACTCTTATTTCCAACTGTAGCAACAACATTGCTGATCTTGACAATGATCCATATCAGAACTGAGATAATTATGTAGCCCAAAATGAAACCTAGCCACAGGGAGAGCTTAAACACCCTGGACAAACTTGTCCAACGTGGATTGGGTTGAGCACAAGGGACATACCAAACTGTTTCGTCTAATATGTACGGTGTTGTACATTCTATGACATCTCCACTTATGTGACACCTATAATACACCGCACCAAATGCCATGTCTGAGACACCTTCTATCAATTCTCTGAGTACTCCTGTCCAAGATCCGTTGTCCAAAAGAATTCCCCATTTCCCGTCTGAGGGCGGTTGTCGAAACACAACTGACATGTTGGTTGCTTTCTGTATCATCTGAAGCATTTTAATTTCAAGACCGCCTTTGTACACCACTTCGGTACCATCGTCACTATGCCAGGGGTACATTACAACGGGTTCAAACTCAAAGGTTGAAATTTTTATGGGACATCCAGGAAGGTATTCGGGGATTTTGGGGGGAAACAGGGAGACGTTACGAAGGAAATGTCCCACGCCGTCCTTCGTCGTAACCCACGTGTCTAACAAAACACAATCGGTGGCTTGACCACACCGACCTAATGAAGAATAAGGAAAGTACGTATACACGTCAACCGTAGGAGTGCCTCTGTCAACACGAAAATTTTCCTCGGATAAACGTGTTGACCGAAGCACAACAACAACCGTAGGAGTGCCTCTGTCAACACGAACATTTTCATCGGATAAACGTGTTGACCGAAGCATAATAACTTCAAAAACATTATGTTTCCAGGTTTCAGCAAAAACTTGTGCATTTTCCGTTTCAACCTTTTCTTGGTTTTGTGGTGGTAAACCTACCGATTCCATAATGACGACCACGAACAGAGCGCGCGAATTCCATGCAGAATTAGACTTCAATCTGATGAACTGGCTTCGAATATCTTGCAAGACGTCTTCAGACTGATGTATCAAGACGTAACTTCCGTATTTGTCTCCTGACTCCGGCTTAATTATGTGATCATCGTACTCATAATTGCAAACGACGAGGAGAGGCTGGTTCAACTCGTTCAAATCCTTCAAAATTTTACTTTCAATTTCAGGGCTGTCATGAATCTGATAGGAGACGACACAAGTAAGCTCTGACGTAAATTGCCTAAGTACGATGTCATGCAAACACTGCACCAGATGACTCTGCCTCTCTCCAGATACCTGCACCATAACACCCAGCCCAAACAGAAATTTCCAAAAGACCATATTCTTGAATCAAGTAGTTCTCCTTAGTTCAGTACAACTTTCAGAATGACCGCTTATTATAAAAACTATTTTCACCTCTGTCAGCCTTATTCTGTATATCATAAACTGGATGGAAACACCTCTGCTTACATGTTTTTATTCTACCAAGTAATGCTTTAAACTGCCCTTTAGTTTTGCGTCAGTCCCGACAAACCAGAAGGATAACACAATTTTAGCAAATGCTTCACTTCTGACTTAGTGCTTGGCTGAAGTCAGAACAAGAATTTCTTAATTTTTAATGCGGAAAATAAACTATGTTGACTTTGGATTAAATCAACAACTGACGTCTGGCGCTGTGATGTATCTATAGATTGTCATAAACACAGTATAACGAAGAATAATATTGAGCATATTTAATAAATCATAAAGTATCTTCCGTGAGGAACGGAAAAGTTCATCTTATTTAAATAATATAAATCTACGTGAAAAACTTTCTCCTTTTTTCAGTAAAACATTATAAACCATACGTACATACAGTGATGGCGAGGAATAGTTTTAAATATTTACACGAAATATCAATAAATTGTAATACGAATGAAACTATATGATGACGCCAGCAAACATTTCACGCAAAATACGTAGAAATAAACTGTGAAAAATTCAAACAACCTAAATATCAAGATAATAAATCTATCATTAAATAACAAATATTATTTCTTTCCATTAGGTATAAGACGACTTCAAAATGTAAGAAGTATCTACATGTCTTTATCAATAGCTTCCTCTGTAAATACATTCGTGATTAACACCTAAGTTTAACGTTTTCATTAATTGTTTGCTTAACTTTATCGCAATTACCATCTGTATTTCTTTTTAAATGACATCTTTATGTACTGTGCGCAGCCCATAAAGGCAACCTTTAAGCCAGATGGTAAAATACAAGGAGATGCTTTATCGCTACTGCTTTTTAATTTAGATTTAGAGCACGCAATTAGAAAGGCAGTAGAAAATCGAGAAGGATTAGAACAGATTTAAAAAATCGGATGTTTTTATTAGTTGTCTTATGTTTTTGCCCCTTTAACCCCGAGAAAAGAGTTCTTGGCCCCAATTTAAATACGAGACTGCGAAGTTTCAACAACCTTGACACCAAAAACTCCCAATTGGGCACGATCCTAAGCCACTTCAATCCAAACAATCTATTTCCCTAACACTGATATTAACCTTCCATTACCTACTTGGTCTTCCAAGAAGTCGCTTTCCAGATGTAAGCCGCTCTTAATTCCTTCATGAATCAAATTCCGATTTGTCACCATCGTTCCCAAACAAACATTTCAGCATTTTACAATTTTTTTCCCCTATTGGTCAAGGCTAATGGTCGAAACTGTAATCCTACTGTTGTCCCAAAGCTGAAGAGAGGTTTTGATGTTGCAGTTACGGCCTGCTGGGTGCCAGTGGCTGTGGGAAGACGACGTTGCTCAGTTGCATTGTGGGGCGCAAACATTTCAACTCCGGCGACGTCTGGGTCCTGGGAGGCAAGCCAGGAACCAAGGGCAGTGGCGTACCTGGCCCCAGGATTGGATATATGCCTCAGGTTTGTGCAGACAGCTACATACCGAAGGTCTGGAGCACCATAAGGCGGAAATGCATGCCTCTCCTCTACCAACCCCCTCCCCCCTCCGACCACAAACACCACTGCCTCTGACGTCAATATCTGGTCGCAAAATTGTATGTGACTTGTGTCATGATTTTTGGGTAATGACTGCATACATTGAGCAGAATCCTTTTTGAGAAGCTAATGATCACTCAGAAGATGGCTCACCACTGTGAGAACATCAAATATTACTTAATAACCAATTTTATGGACACCAAAGGTTCATTGTCGTGTTCACAACAGCCTCAGCAAAATTAATGTAATCCACACTCTCCCACCACATTTATGTTATATACATTTAATATTACGCTCGAGATTGTTAATATCTAACAAAATACAAGCGGAATTAATTTCCGACTCTTCGTAGTATATCTTTTCCAATGTAGATTACATACATTTATCACTGTCAAAATCTGAACTGAAAACTCACTTATTTTATGCAATATCTCGTCAGGTTTGCATGTAATTATTAGCTAGTTAATTAATTTCGCTTCCCATTAATTATTGTCACCAAAAATTAACAAGGACGCATGTGGAATTACACCAAGTTGGAGTAATTTGAAATGTGCCCTGCTTAAGAAGCTAATAGTTGGTAGGTTAGTAAATAAATAAATATTCCCGCCACAACACACACATCACTAAAAGATGAGAACAGTGTGAAGACAAAAAATATGGAGATCAACTATGATGATTTTCCTCTGAATGTTTTATGGTATTTTCTCTAGGACGTGGCTCTAGTTGGGGAATTCACAGTGAAAGGAGCTGTGAATTACTTTGGCTGGATATTCGGCATGAGCGACAGACAGATTGCCAAGCGGTTCACGTTCCTGGATAACTTGCTGGAACTACCACCAGAGGACCGTTTCATCAAGAATCTAAGGTCCATTTACCTGTCCTAACGTTATCAGTGGAGGAAAACGTCACTAATTTAATTCCAAAAGAGTCTGGTCATCTCAAATTACCATCGCATCAAACAAGACTTAATTATTAAACATGCAATTTATATGACTTCATACATTTCGTCTGTATTAGTGTAAACTTACAAACTCTAAGAAGTCGTATTTTGGGTTTTACTGCTGAATCAAGCTACCAGTTGATTTTATATTGAACACATGCACTAATCACTGTCTACATGTCTCGAAAGAGTTCAAATTGGAAGTCCCGGGCTCAAATCTCTGCCAGGAGTATGATAATAATAATTTGATATTTTTCTTGGTTGTCCTCAGGCCCTCCAGAAATTGGTTTGATAGTACCCTACATTCAGCTAGAACTTCTTCCTTCGATGACAATTTTAATTAATTATTCATTAATCATCCTATAATTTGACGCTAAATAGTTTTTAGTTATAAGCATTTTGTTGAAAAGAAGTTGCAGACGAAAATGTTAGCGTTCGATCTGGAAAATTATACATAAGTGCAATCAACTAAATAAATTGATCACTTTCACGTTGATGGTAATTAAACTTATATATTTCATAGTGGAGGTCAAAAGAGGCGAGTCTCGTTTGCTGTAGCATTGGTGCATAACCCGGAGCTACTCATACTGGATGAGCCAACAGTTGGACTTGATCCAATCTTACGATCTAGGTAAGTAAGCCGGATTACGAATTGATACATGTTATGATTTAGTCAAGGTTTTATAACTTGTCATGTAACTGATCAGGGCATACGTTTAAGCTACACAAATCTGTATTTTCCCCAACCACTAATTCATTAAGAGAAACACCCAAAAACAGCATGAAATTAGCGAGGATGGATTATATCAAAATAAACAAGTATTGATCGGTGCCTTTGGTGGATGGTTGGTCTGCGTTTGCTGTTAAGGGATTTTGACCACGTGTTTCCAGTACAACAATACTCTATTGACGTACCCTCACTATTGTCAATTTTTTTAATTTGACATTGTGGAATCTGCACTAATTTAGATATCCCATTATTACTGACAGGCAATTTATTAGTGTTACACAATAACAGGATAGTGCTTTTCTTCTGTTTGTAGCTTTCCATTTTCATGGTAAGTTGCTTATTGTAGTCAGACGTTATATTTATCTGTGGAATTAATGTTTAATTATTTTCTTGGAATGAGTATGAATTGACATAGTAAATAAATAAATAAATAAATAATCGTATAAATATTAAAATAGTAAACGAGGAACATACCAAGAGGTGTTGTGTAGAGTAACGTGCGTCTGACGTATTTACGATTAAGAGCGCTAATATAATATTTTACACAATAAAATGTTTTAATATTATATAATTTTTTACAACACCAATAAACTTCAAACGTTTGTGTATAGACTGTACAAAATAAATATATAGGATAGTGCTTATAACTCCATTATTACTAACAGGCAATTTATTAGTGTTATAAAACAACATTTTATTGTGTAAAATATTATATTATAGCTCTTAATCGTAAAAATTATATAATATTAAAAAATTTT